GGGCACCAACAGACATTGTCATCTCTCACACACACATTCTAAGCCTTAAACCTATTCTTTCTCTGTTATGCTCTAGCCTAAATATTTTCCTTCCCTATTCTCACAATTCATCCCCTAAGCACTCCCCGGATTCCGTTCTTTACCCGAAATTCTATACTTAAACCAAGGCGTGAAAGGTAGAAATGTTTGAGGTTTAGGCCCCAAATCAGCTTTACTTTCATTTGAATTAATTTCCATTTTATTATTTATTTTTCTTGAAGTTACTAACGTGTTTATTGTTTTATAGTTGCAAGCAAACGCAATCAAAGTAAAGAATCATGTTCCTTTTCTCTGTTATATTTCTAATGATTTTTTTCATGTTTGTCATATATTAGTTTCTTAGATTTATGATTAAATTGCTTCCAATGTTATTGTTATTCTATTGTTATTGTTGATAACCATATTGCATGTCAAAGGGAATATGTAATTGAATATAACGCTTAATAAATAATTTGGACGACCGATTTAGGTTCCTTTTTAATCTTGTTGTAAATTGAAGTGATCATGATATTTAGAATTATATGTTGCATTAACAGTCAGCCAATTTAGCTTAATTTAGTTTAGAGCAAATTGAATCTTTGTTTTGTGTGCCTTTGAGATTGCAGGGAACACTTTTCACAATAAGAATTGAGTAGAGGCCAAAACGAGCGAATGTGTTTCCATGACTCACTTCGTACCATCATCCCCAATCCTCCTTTTGTGGTTCTGAACCATATGGAGTTAGTAATCTCATGGATTTTGAATGTGGTGTAACCTTCACGGGTCAATTGTTGTTGCCTATTGTTGTCCCTTAATCGTGGTTGCCTTAAATGATCCGTGAACGCTTTACAAGTTCCTTAAAAACTTGTTGGCGGCTCACTACTTTACTTGTCCCTAAGCATATTATGTCAATTCCCACTTCCTATGAGTGTCAAGCATATTCACACATGCTTAAGTAGTAAGTAGACGCGCTTTGAATGAGGCCCATAGGTTGGAGTCTCATAACTTGGAGTAGGAGAAGGATAATTCTTATGCCTTTCAAATGGTGGTATGGATTCATCAATGGAGGAAACAAACTCCTTGTGAAGTAGTCTTGGATGAACAAAAGGGTAGTTGGGAGTTCAAGTAATGAAGTTGGTGAAGTTATATCAAGGTTTGGTTCTCCCCAACTTTGGTGGTTCCACAACTCTCCTCCTAGGTTCATAGTCACAATTAAGGTAGTAAAAAAATTACTTTTGAACCGAGTCAAGGTTGCTCGCCACTTTCCCTCATGATGGTGCTTCTCATTCTCAAAGAAAGGTTCATACCTTTTTTTTAACTTTAGGTGAATGGGCTAGAGATAATAAAACTAGCCATGGTGGTTGAGTAAACACTTCAAGGTCAGACTTCTCATAAAGAGACTGAACAAAGGTAGTTATTCTAGTCACAAAATCATTAATACGTACTAATCCCTTCATCTTTCAAGTAATAAACATTAAAGAATTTCTTTCTGAATTCATCCAACGCCTATATAAATAAATCACTTTAATAAACATATGAATACTATTCGACATGAACAGTTAAAATCAAAACTCAATGAATTCCATTTGCATGAAGTAATACGTGTAAATAAACAAATATAACTTAAGATGACTCAACTATGAGCATTAAAACACCAAAATTTCGGACCTCCCATCGTCTTTCAAATAATACAAATCAAAGAATTACTTCCTCAAATTATCAATCATTTTTATCTTGTTTACACATATTAATTATCAATTCAATGGTATTTCACATAAGCAACTCAATTCATAAATTCCATTTGCATAAAGCAATACATAACTTAATAATATACCAAGTATAACTTAAGATCACCTAACCATAAGCAATAAACTCAAAAAAAATTCGGACCTCTTGACCATAGACTAAGGTGTTATAACACAAACTTAATGCACAAGCAATCACACCAACTCAAGCTTTGAAATAGTTTCAATTCTTTTTGTTTTCGAAAATAATAATACTGTACTTGAATAATGATATTAGACGGTCAAGCACGCGTCTCCTAGGAAAGTTACCTACAACGTCGAGGCGAGTCTTACCTAGACAGAGAATTGTACACGAGAATCCTTTTCTCAATCATCTTTCCAAATCAGAAAATAGTTTTTATTTAAAAATAATGCTTTTGACCATCACACACAAATGCGAAACTCTATTCCTATATGCCCTCTTAATTAATGTCCACCCACAATTTTGTTTTTCCCAATTTTAATGTTTTTTAAGACCTGGTAAACTGATACCACTTGTAACACCACCAAATCTAGTATAATTCGTATAATTATACCGCAGATATAGACTTAGGCATATTACCGCTGCGTGATTACGCAAGGCTAGTCAAAATACTTAACTCAATAACAAATAAACTTGCAGCAGAAAATCAACTCTTCTTTTATTAATACTTACTTGTATAAAATAGTAATAACCATTGTTATAAGTACTCAAAATAAAGACAAAACCAGCATTCCTAAACTAGGTGAAGCAAATCCCGCGACTCCTATATGCTAATTCATGACTCCACCTGAAAATAGTCAACACTGCTTACCATTAAGGTAAACAGGGTGAACCAAAACAAATACAAAATACAGATTAGCAAAATATGCTAAGTACGATAAGTGCAAGATAAGTAAACTCAATTTATTAGCAAACATGCTTTTTAAACCAATCATGAAATTCCAATATTTATTTCAATAACTCAAACCTCATAATTCAAAACCAATACTCAAGATTCTCAAAATAATTCCAATAGCTCAATAATAATTTGAATAATAATTCGAGTGATAAAAATCAATTCCTTTTTAAAACTCAATTCCTCTCCTAAGTGTGAACCCCCCCCCCCCCCAAGTTAGTTTCTTTATGTAGAAAGGCTATCCTTGAGCAAAGACTAGGTCATACAAAGTCCATAGTCTTACTAACCAAATCCGCATAGTGGGACTAATATAATCACGCTTATAAAGCTTTAATAATAATTCGATAAATCCTTATAAAATTTCTCCCGTTGAATAAAATTAACCTTTATAATAAAATAATTCAAAACTCTTTTTTATTTAATTCAACATACTTTCAAAATCAACCTTTTAAAAATACTTGGGAATTAAATCTCATGTTAATAAGTTTTCAAAACTCGATAACTCTTCCTTTCAAGATCAAAACCTTTTATTTAATTCAACAAGCTTTTAAACATGATAAGTAATTCAAACCACCAGCCACTATTTCCATGGCAGGCGGCGATACTCCCCCCCCTCTACCTCATCCTCTTCCCTCCAACACCTTCCAACAAGCCTTTTCCGTTTCCAACATCAAAAATCTTATTAGTGTTGCCCTTGATCAAGAGGAGTGCGCAATATGCTATGTGGGTTGAATTGTTTCCAATTCAGGCATGTGCTTTCAATGTTCTCAATCATATTGTTGTTATCGTTTCTCGACCGACGGAGATTGATGATGCACATGCATGGAAGAGATTGGATACGATTGTGAAGCAATGGATCTATGGAACCATCTCCAAAGACCTTGTTGACACCATCATGAAACAGGGTGCCACGGCTCGAGAATTATGGACCCAATCCGACTTGAGGAGTTGTTTCATGATAATAAGCATACTATGGCAGCGTATTTGGAGAAACAGTTCGCGAACACCAAACTCAAACACTATGCAAACATGTTTGATTATTGTAAACAAATTTAGCTATTTGCGGATCTGTTAGCTAACGTTGATTGCCCGGTATCTAATCGTAAGACGGTTATGCAACTCATTGCCGGCCTCACCAAGGGTGAATATGATATAGTTGCTGCCATTGTCTCTCAATATGAACCCACTCCGAGCTTCAACAAAGCAAGGTCCATGTTTCTCTTGGAGGAGACTCCTCAAAAGAAACAAGAAGAGTCGGCCCAGCAGGCTCTCGTGGCTCAGACCTCGCAGGCCCTGCCCTTGCCATCATCATCACCGGCCGGCGACAGACCAGCAGCGCAGCGGGTGGTGGTCGAGGTCGGGGCCGCGGGCGTGGGAACAACAACAAGCCCAAAGGTCTTGGTAGGGGCGGAGAGAACAACAAAAATAATCAGCAGCAGCAACAACAAGAGACTGGGCCACCTTGGTAGGCCCAACAGCAGCAGGCCCCTCAGTGGGGAGCCCAGTCCGCTTGGCCACCACAGCTGCAAGGCAACTAGGCCTCACCGCCTTGTCCTTTCCCAATAGGTCCGGCCCAACAGCGACCTCAGTAATCTATGTTGGGCCCCTGCCCTCAACCAACAGGCCTACTATGCTAGCCTGATGTAGTCTGGTTATGGCCATCTTATGTCACCAACAGAGTTGGGCCAAGTGTACAGTTCCACGAGGTTGCAACCTCTCGAAAGCGGATGGTATATGGATACCAGGGCGACTTTTCACATGACTTGTGATTCGAGTAAAGTATCCAAACTATTTAATTTGAGCATTCCTCAATATATTTTAGTTGGTGATGGCAAACGTATTCGGGTAAAATATCCAAACTACAAGAAAACCCATTATTGGCAACAAAAAATGTCGTTGCTAAAAAACACTTGTTGCAAAAAATCACTTAGCAACGACTTTTGTCGTTGCATGGTCGTTGCGCGTCTGGGCATTGCAAAAAAATATGACAACAATTTTTGTCGTTGCAAAAATTTTATTTTACACGACTTTTTTTGTTGCGAAAATAATGTCATTGCCATACGTTGCATTTCATGATACAAGTATTCTCATTTACTAAAACGATAATTGTCGTTGCTATAAATGCATAGTTTTTTCACAACAACATTTGTTGTTGCTCACTATACTGCTATGATCATATGCATTTACAGCAACGACAAAAATCGTTGCCCAAACAATATTTTTCAATAAATGTATAAATTATTAAATTTGTAATAATTCATATAAATCTTGTAAAATGATAAAGCATTAATTTAATCATACCATCCGAAAATTACCTCAAAAATGTTAGCATATATATTTCCAATAGTCATATCCAAAATATTACATTCATCGTTAAGATTTTCTTAAAATATTGCATCCATTCTTCAGATTTTTCATATCCAAAATAAAACTAAGCATTATCCTAAATAGTTATATCAATCATCATCCCAAAAAGGTGCATCCACCTTCATCACAAAATATTACATTATCATATGAATATATCCAAGCTAACACATTCTACCATTTACCATCACTTTCTCCAAAAGCATTCTCCTACTATATACTCATCTACATCAATAACCTACAAGTGCACAAGTGCATGTGTTAGGGTATAAAGCAGTATCATATTATTTAAATAATACTACATATTTCATAATACATAATAAGATTATAAAGAGATATTTAAGATTAATCATGTGCTATTTCAAATATCCTTATCTCATGCAATGTGATGGATTTTAAAAGAATTTACAAAATCTAAGGACAATAAGGGGAAAAAAACAGTACCTTGAAATCAAAGTTAAATTAATTTTTATCGTCAGGTAAAAATTTTGTAAAACAGATAATTATTTCCAAGTAAATAGTCAATGACATCTTTTATGAAATAGATTTTAGCATGTACCTTTGTTTAAAAATTCTCGCTATAATTCTTCCTTCATTGCATCCATTGCAGGTTGCATATCAAGCTTTTGTTGTTCTAGTTGCCTTGATGTTGCTTCAACTGTCCCTTGTAGCTGTTTTTTTGTTTGTTCTTGAGTCTCTTCTAACTTTTTTATCCTTTCATCTTGCTCTTGAATCTTCTTTTGCAGCTCAAGTTTTTTTCTAGTTCCCTTACTATAACCACGTAAGGCTGTACCTTTCCCACAAAAGTAACCACATCTGGGTTTCAAAACATCCAAAAGAATCACCTCTTGTGTCATCGAGTCTTCATGAGTAGCAACTGCAACTTTTAATTGATCCTAAAATGTGCATCAATTGCTGAAGTGAAAATAATTATTAATAAGATTTGTTGTTGGTTTCAAGAATGGTATCATAAAAGCAATATATTTGCAGCAAATACCAACTAATACATGTTGTAAATAACTCTTTCAAATTGCACTTACATAAATTTCCTTGGAGCGAGAATCATCAGCCCACTGAAGTTGGCCTTCCTTTTTTTTTGTGTGCTCAAAAAGCCAAATCACATCAGCTGATAGTTTTACACCATTGTTTTCACAAGTCTAAAATAAAAATACTTCAGTTTAACTAAGATTTGGGATTTAGTAAATAAATTCTTATATTATTAGTGGTAAGGTTAGATATTTCTTGAATTTCTTTCACTCATTTCCTACATGTTCATTACAATTAAGATGAAGCGAAAAAATAATATAAATTTTTTTTATATGACACAGTATAGTTTTTACTTAAAAAGTTGAGAGCTAAATCGTTCCACACAATGTTTCCTCTAATTTTGAGGTAAATCTAGTGGATGATTTTTAAGCGCTCCTCATCATTTTGTCCACAACCTCCATTCTTATAATAGTAGTGCAATCGAGATTTCCATAACCTATAAAGACGTTGCATAGTTTCAATGGCAAAAGCTTGCATCTTAATATAGGAACTACCTTCTTTAACTTGAAACTTTTCCTAAAAAAATATAAACTAATTATAAGAAATGAAATAATAAGACAAGGTCTTTGTTCATACATAATACGGTTTAATAAAGAACAAAATTACCTCAATTTTCTTCCACATCATATCACCAGCTAGTCCAAAAGCTTCTTTCCAACTCTTTACATTCAATGGAGCCCTTGTCCTCACAACACAACCACACTCATTCACAAAAAGACGACCATTTTCACCAATAGCCTAGTCAATATCATCTGGATTTTTTCCCTTTGATTTTCATATCCACTACATAACTTTTGTACTTTCCCTTTCAGCCTCTTTGCTTCACCTTGCTCGTCGCTATTAACATGTTTTGCAATCCAGATCACATTTTCCATTCAAAATATTTTGTCAGATGTCAGATTACTGCATTTTTAAGTTTACTTTTCGTTTATACCAATTGATTTTTACTTAAAATCTTTGCGACACAAACATTATTTGTAGCTAGTAAGAAATCTAAACAAATGAAAACTTTCTCACAACAATAATATATTTTTCTTACTTTTACCATCTCGTGTAGTTTCTCTATTAATAACCGAGTGTATCAAACCATTATTTCCTACTTGCCGGCGATTAGCATTTTCACCGACTCCTCTATTTTCTTCGTCCCTTCTAATAGGTGGATCCAAAGCATTCGTTGCTTCCAAATTCATGTTCATCCTTCCTGCTAAATTGGTCGTTCTTTTCCTTTTGCTTGACGTACCAGCTATATTTGAAAATAAAGTTGTTGATAAGACATGAAAAGATAATAGCACAACAACAATTTTTGAATTATACCTCCAACATGTGGTGAAATACACCTCTCTGACTCATTTTGAAATTGATTTTCATTGGAAATCATGTTATCATCATGTATTTGACAATGCTCTAAATGATTTAAGGATCCCAAGACATTATGGTTAGGTAAATCACAATTCCCCATACTTTGAACCTGATTTGAAGAGCTTATAGACCTTCTTGGTACATTATAATTGCCACCATTTTGTACCAGATTTGAGGATCCCACATGTTCTCCAACCACATTTGAGTAAAGATTACTTCCTGCTTAATTTACAGTCAATGACATTAGAATAATGAAAAAGAAAACAATGAAAAAAATTATGCATCAAACCTAAGGATAGTACAATTTCAGAGTAAACCTTTTACCTTTTCCATCCTGTTTTCGATTGCACACATTCATTCCTCCACCTCTCCCAACCATTCTTTATAATTTCTTGTTTTTGCATAAACACGTAATAACATTAGTTTAGAAGATATTCTATACAAAACTCCATCCATCAAGTAATATTGAAATCTATAAACTTATAGCGGTAAACACATTACGTAAGTATAATATTAACATATATACGACAAAAAAGAAAATTCCATACACTGAAAAGAGAGAGAGAGAGAGAGAGAGAGAGAGAGAGAGAGAGAGAGAGAGAAATAACATATTCAATTTTACTCTTGTGATGACTCCGAACTAAACTCTTCCTTTCACTTGTATCTTCTAAAACTTCAATGTCACCATCATTGATAAAGTCATCATCTTCACCAATTTCCTCAATCACTTTTCTAACTAACTTTACAACACTAGGTTCTATCTCAACTACAAAAGTATTTGTTGCTAATGAATTTATTAGAAAGCTATCATTCTCAGTCCTGAAGCTTTGGCATTCAACTTGATTTACATCAACCTACTGATATGCGTCCACATCTACACCACCTTGGTCATTCTTATCATTGTTTGGCATATCATAAAGATCTCTAGGCTGGGTTTTAATAACAAACTGCCAATCCTCATTTTTCGGATCTTGTACGTAGAATACTTGTTCAACTTGTGATTCTAAAACGTACACTTCATTTGTTTTCAAAGAACCCCTTTAATTTACACTTATCAGTCCATTATCATCCACTTTGTATCCTTTACCAAGGTGTTGTACATCAAACCATGCACATTAAAAAACAAACGTACGATTCCCACCTGGATACGAAACCTCAAAGATGTCTTTTAACACACCATAATATTCTTTGTCTGAAATATCATCTCCCCGTACCATGACTCCACTATTCTGAGTTTTCCTATTCTCACACCTATCATGTGTATGAAACCAAAAACCATTAACTATATAAGCTGCATAGCGCCTCACAACTCTAGAAGGAAAACAAACTAAATTATACATGTCTTCATCAATATTCCCTTCTTCATAGAGTTTACGCACCTATTTGAAAAAAATAAGACCACCAGGTTAAAAATTATCATTATTAGATATGAAAAATTAAAGTATATTCTCTATAAATGAAAACTTACACGATCATGAATCCAAGTTGCAAATAGCATCTTGTGTCGTCGTTCCACATTTCTTGGATTTTCTCTCTCCAACATTAATTTGTGTTCGCTGGAAAAAAAAATAATGTAATGTAAATAATCACATCTAAAAACTTACAGATTTAAAATGACTATTTTCAAAACTTACTTAACAAAATCAATAAGCTCATCGCAGTTTAGAAGATTGTACAAATGGATTTGATCACATTCTTCAAAGCTAAGATGTCGTGGTGCCCCTTCTCCGAGTGCATGACCAAGGGGTCTAAAAATATCTAACTTGTTTCTCAAAGTAACATCATTTAAAGTGTCATCATCATTCCTACCTTTCCTATTGAATTTAGTGTCAATATCACTCATATATCTTGAGCAAAATGTTAGACACTCATCTGAAGATAGCCTTCTGCAATGCAACCCTCTGGTTGTGCTCTGTTTTGAATGTACTTCTTTAAATTTCCAAGATATCTGCAATTATAATTAGAGATAAAAATTGAGTCTATATAAAGAAAGAATTTTTTTTTTGAAAAATCAAATAGATGTCCTACCTCTCAACTGGGTATATCCATCGATACCGGACAGGCCCTTCGATCTTTGCTTCAGCAGCTAAGTGAACCACCAAATGCACCATCACATCGTAAAAAGCAGGAGGGAAAATCATCTGGAGCTTAAACAATGTGTAAGGAATTTGTGCTTCGAGGGTGTCCAATTCCTTTATTGTTATGTTTTTTGAGCAAAGGTTTCAAAAAAAAAAGAGCTAAGCTCAACTAAAGGCTCATAAACTTCCTTTGGCAGGAATCCACGAGTTGCAAGAGGAAGAAGTTGCTCAATAAAAACATGGTCATGACTCTTCATGCCAGATATTTTCTTTCCATTGTCCCTGACACAACGTGAGATATTTGATAAGAAACCATCAGGTGACATAATTCCAGCAAACATCTCACAGATTGCAGCTTTGGCAGTTGTATTTAGTGTGTAGGATGCTACAGGAACTCGTACTTTATCTCCATCCAAACTAGGGTGGAGCTCATCTCGAATACCCATTTTCATCAAATCAATTCAAGCCTTTACCGTGTCTTTTGTCTTACCTCTGATATTCATCAAAGTGCCTAAAATATTATCAGACACATTTTTTTTCGATATGCATGACATCTAAGTTGTGTCGAATTTGCAATTTTCTCGAGTACGGTAGTTGGAAAAAAATGCTTTTTTTGTGCCAACCATACAAGATATTTAAAGCATCCCATTTTCTTTTTTGTCCAGCAACCTTACCAAATGTTGCTTGCTCAAATCGATTAAAACAACTTAAAATTTCATCACCAGTTAACGGAACAGGTGCATGCCCTTTTTCTTTTTTGTTATCAAATAATGATTTAGCATCCTTTCTCCATTTATGATTAATATGCAGCCAACGACAATGACACATATAACAACCTTTACTCATCAAGGAAGTGCGCTTGGTTTCCTTAAGGCAGGATGAGCAAGCATAGTGACCTTTAGTAGACCAACCCGACAAATCAGCATACGCAGGAAAGTCACTAATAGTCCATAAAACAATGGCATGCATATTTAAATGTTGCTTAGAATAAGCGTCATAAGTTTCAACTCCAAACTCCCAAAGGTCCTTCAGCTCTTCAATTAAAGGTTGAAGATAACCATCAATATTTCTTCCAGGACTCGTGGGTCCTGGCATGAGTAGAGATAAGATGAAAGAATGAGGCTTCTTACATATCCAAGGAGGTAAGTTGTAAGGAATAAGAACAACGAGCCAAATGCTATGTTGAGAATTATCAAAAGGCAGGAAACCATCACAAGTTAATCCAAGTCTAACATTGCGTGCATCTCTGGAGAATGAAGTATACTCCTCATCAAATGATTTCCATGCAGCAGAATCAGCTGGATGCCTCATTACCTCATCATCCACCCTTTCTTCTTTATGCCATCGCATATCTTTAGCGGTCTTTCTTGACATATATAACCTTTGTAATCTGGATTTCAATGGAAAGTGTGGTAGCACCTTGTGTGGCACTTTCGTTCCATTACAAGCACCTTCAGGAACATTCTTGTATCTGGGTAAGCAACAAGTAGGACACTTATCTAAATGTGCATTTTGTTTCCAATAAAGAATACAATCATTTTTACAAGCATCAATCTTCACACACTCAAGACCCAAATTGGAAATCAATTCCTTTGCCTCATAATATGAATCAGGAAGGCAGCTCCCAATGCTTCCCCTTGCAATTTCAGCAAACTATCAAAAGAGCTATCACTCTAGTTATTTAAAACCTTCAAATGCAGCAGCTTTACTATATAAGACAACTTTAACATTGTTGTGCCATTAGATGTCGGTGGCTCTTCAAATTCTTTCAAAAGATGGTAAAACATTGCTGCATCTCCAGTTGGTTCTTCATTAAAATCATAGTCATTCATATGATCCCCCTACATACCAGGTACCCCAAATGCATCTTCTAACATATGAACTCCACTATCATCACTTTCCATTCCATTTCCATCTCCATCTTCCATACCACTAATGTAACCACTAGGAGAATGACTTACCTTTTCACCATGAAGGTCCCATATTGTGTAATACTCATACATTCCTGACTTTAGTAAATCAAACCTCACATCACACCTTTTTTAAAACACTAAATTACGACAATTGTCACAAGGACACCTAATAGTGGCGGTATTCTCATCCTCCATGTTATAAGAAAAGGCAAAGTTGAAGAAATTATCAACACCCTCTATGTACTCGACAAGTGAACGATCATTTATTTTCATCAATTCCTTATCAATAGCCATTCCCTAAATTCACATTAATAAAAATAAGATAAAAAAAAAATTCTAAAATGTTGAATGTTAGCATACATATAATTTCCAGCAAAAAATAAAATAAAAACTAATACGATGTACAATCATACAAACATAGCATAAGTATCCATTTGAATGACAAACAATCCTAATTATACTAACATGCCTTAATTTAAAATATAGAAAACAATCACAACTTTTACTTGAACCATATGAATACTAAAAACAAAAAAAAAACTTTTAGATAAGATAAGAGTATTACCAACAAGAAAACATCCAGGTAGCCTGCTATAACTCAAAAAGTTTTCTCCTTTGGTTACTTTGATTTTCTATCAGCTAGCTACTAATTATGTGTCTCTGTAAAGGAAAAGAATGTAATGTAAAATCAAACAAGAAAACTTGTTAAAGTGACCTATTTTATATAAAATAGTTTTCATCTTGGTTAAGTTGAATTACTGTCAAATCTAGTGAATGACACTTTTTTAGATACATGGACGAATTTGCTATTTTCTAACATTGTAAAATACTACTTTTCTATAGTTTATCCCAAAAATATTGAATATGTGAGTTCATTTTAAAGATATACATACACAGTTAAAATATAATAATTAAAAGAAACTTTAATTACAACAATAACCAGACATACATGGGCTTAGTTCTACACTTCAACCTCCAAGCAAATATTGCACATAAATTATTTGCAAAAAAAAAAAAAATACAATAAAGCCATCAAAACTAATAGAAATTATCATTTCATATAGTAAACAAGTAATCTATTAATTTTACAAACAATAATTAAATAGAAAGTTGCTTTTGACATTGCTTTCAAATATGACAGTCATATAATCAACCCACCTTTTCTAAACTGTAGTAGTACTAGATCGAACCTAGTCCTAAATTTAAAAAATGTTCAATGAACTAAATACATGCAAGACATCTAATAAATTATTTCAAAACTATAAGAATAGTATCCACAGATGTAAATTATAATAGTAACATGTAATTTATACTCAAAATTATATCCCAAAAAAATGATAGAGACCACATTCAACTCCTCCATAGTTTACCCCTAAACTCATATTTACAAGCAAATAGCTTAAGTTTTTTCCACAAAAAAATTAAAAAAAGAGCAAATTTCTTTTTTCACCGTAATTGTCAAATAAAAGATGTAAATTTAACATTATATGAAAAAAATTAACTTTTTATACAGATACAAAATAAAAAATTAGAAGAAAGAACTAACCTCTTGTTACTTGCTATTAGAGTAGTACCCAGAATAAATCATCACAGCTAGCTAATGTCAAAATCCATACCCACAAGAATTTCCTTAATTTTAGACAAACACTAACTCCCAAAATTATATCGCAACAAACGATTCAAGCAATTTGGCTAAGAAGTAATTCATTTAGAATGTATAATTTTTTTGAGGTGAAATAATAGATAATTTGAGTAAGCTTAATTTGTAGTTGTTTTGGATAATTTTGTAGATGCTTTGAATTTTGGAGTGGCGAAAATTTAGGGTGGCGAATTGGCGGGATGAAATAAGGGTTAGGCGGGGAAGAAGAAGGTTCTGGGTTTGGGAAAGTAAAATACGCAGTACAACATTTCTTTTGTTTGTCAATTTATTATTATTATTTTTTTACTTTTTTGATTTCTAGTCTTTAATATCAGCAACAACACTGTCGTTACAATTAAAAGTGGTATATTTAGCAACGATAAAAGTTGTTACCAATAATTATTAGAAAGATTTGCAACAATTGGTCGTTTGTAAAAAATTAGGATATATTTTGCAACGACACTTATCGTTGTGGAAAACAGTCAAAATTTGACAAGGCCCGCGCTTGAAGTTTTGGAAATGAAAATGAATATATTGCAACGACAATGTCGTTGTTAAAATTAATATTAGCAACAATAACTAAGTCATTGCTAAAGAGTTGTAGCCAAAAATGGGATTTCTTGTAGTATATGGCAATTCTAGTAGCCCTACACTTAATCCACCTTTTCATCTCAAAAAATGTCCTTTATGTTCCTAATATAATTAACAATTTAATTTTTGTTAGAAAATTTACTTGTGACAATTTTGTGTCTATTGAGTTTGACCCTCTCGGTTTTTCTGTGAAGGACCTTTATTTGGGGACAACTCTAGCGAGGTGTAATAGTGTGGGGGACTTATATCCATTTCCTCATTCTTCCGCGACATATGGCAATAGTCATCTATCTCTCGCTGCAATTTCTCCTTCAACTTGGCATCATAGACTTGGCCACCCTAACGAACCTATTTTAGATTTTCTTAGGAAAAACAATTTAATTCGTTGTAATAAGAGAAATAGTTCTCATTTTTGCTATTCTTGTCCTTTGGGAAAACATGTAAGCTTCTTTTTAAGCCATCTACTTCTATCTGCCACTTTTTCACCGTTTGATATTGTTCATGCGGATTTATGGACGCCTCCTATTTCTAGCAAATTGGGTCATAAATACTATTTAGTATTGCTTGATGATTTCTCTTATTTTACTTGGGTGTTTCCTATCAAAAATAAATCACAAGTCTATGGTATTTTTCTTAATTTTCGAGCATATGTTAAAACTCAATTTCAAAGGGATATACCTTTCAATGTGACAATAGTCGTGAATTTAATAAATCCCCATTTCACAATTTTTGTGCGACTAATGGCATGGTCTTTCGATTTTCTTGCCCAAACACTTCTTCCCAAAACGGCAAAGCCGAAAGGATTATTCGCACTATTAACAATATGTCTCGTACTACTCTCTTCCATGCTTCTCTTCTTTTTCGTTTTGGGTTTATTCAATACATATGGTTGCGTACATTCTCAACATCTTGCCTACTACAACCATACCAAACAAGATTTCAACCGAAATTCTATATCGTAGAGTACCCACCAATGATCATCTTCGCACTTTTGGATGTCTTTGCTACCCAGATATTAGTGTCATTGCACCCCATAAGCTTGCTCCTAGGTCTACACCGTTTGTATTTTTGGGTTTTCCTTCTAATCATTGGGGTTATTAGTGCGATGATTTGTCCTCCAACAAAACAATTATTTCATGTCATGTGACTTTTGTTGAAGACATTTTCCCATTCTCAAATCTCCAACAATTTAGAGAAATAGATTACGATCAGGCGCGGCTTTGGACAAGTTCTTCCTCACACACTGAATAGGGCCCCCAAAGACCAAGGTCCCTAATTTAAAAAAAAAAACGCTAACTCATTAGAAGAAAAAAAAATTCTCAACCTCACCTATTCCACCTTCTTCCCCGTAAAACTAAAAGACCACCATTTCCAAACTAAAACCCAAAAATTCATCTTAAATATTTGACTTTGCCTTTAAATTTCCAAAACAAAATTAAATTACCTCAGTAATTATCTCTCCTAAACGGCTAATTTGCCTTATTAACTCCAATTCATTTAATTCTTCCACTATTTTTTAGGCAAAATTGAAGGAGCAATTCATTCTTTATCGGAATCAATTCTGATGTCGATTCAATTGATATCAACGACCAAATTTTCATTTATTTATATCAATTTTAAGATCAAGCAATACCCACAAAAATTACAATCTTCAGGTTTTTTTCAATTTTACTCATTTCAAAAAGTGGAAAAAACATTATTGGAAAAAATTGTTCTTGTTAAGTGGATCTATGGTGTCTGGAGTGCAGAGGTTAATCAAATAACAGGTTGTATTTTTTTTTTCCTTGATATTTTAATTTTTGCATAATTTTGTTATTTCTCAATTATAAATTGTTGTTTTTTAATTATGCCTCCTAAATTAGGAAATATGATTGTGGTTGTGAAAAACATAAGGAAAAAAAAAGGAATTGAAGACTTGACTCAATCTCAAAGAGAGCGCCTGATAAGTTCATTGTAAAAGAACATTTAATGGAAAATAATTTAAATAGCAACGTTGATATGAATGATTCCATTTGTAGTATTGAACTAAAAAAAAGTCATTTTATAATAATAATATTTTTAACCTTTTAAAAATAGTAATTCAAATATTTAAGTCCCCAATTTTTATAGTTAAAACAGGGCCACCAAATTGCCGGAGACGGCCCTTATTATGATTTCTTGGACTCCTCTAATGCTACTGCCATAAACCCCATGTTCCTACAACTCACTCAAAATGCTGGCCCATCTACTTCAAATGCCACATAGAACACACAACAAAAGCAACAAAATTCCCTCACTCTCCTACTTCACCCCAATCTCCCTCAATCCAATTCGGGTCACTCCCACACCCAAGTCTGGTTCGCTCTCCTCACTCTCGGCCTATTATCAAACATTCCCACTCTATGGCTACTCGTGCCAAGAGCGAGATTTTCAGGCCGAACCCTAAATATCAAGCTAATATTACGGTTCAAGCTATTTCTCCCTTATCTAAAAATCCAAAATTAGCCATACTTGACCATAATTGGAATATTTCCATGAATGAGGAATTTAATGCTCTTACTAAACAACATACTTAAGATCTTGTTTCAAGATTGGAGGGGGTGAATATTATTCGATGCATGTTGTTGTTTAAACACAAGTACAGGGAAAATGGTGATTTTGAGAGACACAAGGTGAGACTTGATGTGAATGGCAAGCCTCAATAGGTTGGTGTTGATTGTGATGAGACCTATAGTCCCATGGTGAAACCGACGCCTATTGGTACTGTATTGAGCATTGTTATGGGCAGAGATTGGCCTATTCATCAGTTAGATGTCAAAAATGCATTCCTTCATGGTTACCTCAAAGAGACCGTTTTTATGCATTTACCTCCGGGATTTGTAAATCCTAATGCTCCCGCTTATGTTTGGCGGTTGTGCAAATATCTCTATGGTCTTAAATAGGCCCCTTAAGCTTGGTATCAACGGTTTGCTAATTATGTCTTGCAGATTGGTTTCGTATGTAGAAAAAGTGGTAATTTCCTCTTTATTTTTCTACATGGTGCTAATGTTGCATACCTCTTCCTTTATGTTGATGATATTTTTCTTACAGCTTCCTCAGAAAAACTCAAGTGTGATATTATTGCTCTTCTTAAGTCCAAATTCTCCATGTCTGACTTGGGAAAGCTGAGTTGTTTTTTGGGAATTTTCGTAAGCCGAACAAAGCATTCTATGTTTCTCGGTCAGAGTATGTATGTAGAGGAAATTATTCACAGGGAAAAGATGGACAATTGCAAACCGGTTGTTACACCTGTCGACACTAAGTCGAAACTTGGGCTGCACAATGGCAAGCCAATGGGGGATCCGTTTCTTTATAGGAGCCTTGTAGGTGCACTCCAGTACCTCAATTTCACTAGACCTTACATTTCTTATGTCGTTCAACAGGTTTATTTATTCATGCATGCTCCTAAGGAACCTCATTTTAACGCTCTCAAGTGTATTATCAGGTATATCAAAGGAACTTTGGATCATGGCCTACATTTATACCGTTGTGCTCCTACGAGACTTATTTCTTACACAGATGCCGATTGGGGCGGCTGCCCGGACACATGGCGCTCCACTCCAGAGTATTGTGTTTATTTGGGTGATAATATTGTCTCATGGTCTGCAAAACGACAAGCTACTTTGTCCTGATCCAGTGTCGAATCAGAATATAGAGGTGTCGCTAATGTCGTTGCCAAAATTTGTTGGCTCCGAAATCTTCTTATCGAGCTACATTGTCCTATCCGATATGGCATCCTTAGTTTATTGTGATAATGTGTCTACCGTATACTTATCTTGCAATCTGGTACAACACCAACGTACCAAGCACATTGAGATGGACATTCATTTTGTACGCGACAAGGTCGCCCTTTGTCACATCAAGGTCGTACATGTTCCTTCTTCATATCAGTACGCAGATATTTTCACAAAAGGTTTGCCACACAACTATTTTTAGACTTCAGAGACAGTCTAAGCATTCGACCTCCTCCCGCTTCGACTGCGGGGTTGTAATAGATATTAGAGTAATATTATCTTGTTAATATTCTTAAAGATATATTTTTTTTTAATTTAGGACTTTCATAATTAGGTTTGTAGATACCTGTATATATTAAATGAATGAGAAGTCTCCAATCAAGGAGAATTACACTATTCTACAATTTTGGTTTAAGGCATTACTTGGAAAAGAGAGTTTAAGAATTAAGGAAGGTTTAGTTTATGGTGATTAAGGAATAAGAAAATAAGGCAAGTAGTTTGATCATATAATAAAAGATGGCAAGTGAGCTTGCTTGGAGAATAATCAAGGAATATTTAAGGCAAATAAATTCCATGATCAAATCTTTGTGAGATGGGAAAAAGGAATTAAACAAATAAGGAATTGAAGGAAGATAATTAAATAACAAAACTACCAAAATAATTAAACCAAAATATGCATTAGGTGGCTGAAAATATTAAGCCTATCCATTCTCATATTTTTGGACGTCATTGCTTAGTTTTAGGAAATATTTTGCTAGATTTTAAGGATTAAAAATGATTGTGTAAATAGTATATTTCTTAGAAAATAATTAATTAGAAAATATCAACTTAAAACTAACTTAATTAACTAAGAAAAATCAGATTTTCCACACTTAGAAATCCAAAATTATTATCTAATTCG